ATATATATATATATATATATTGAATTGAGTGATCGTTTACATGGGGGAATATCAGTTTTGCATTCGTTTCATTGCAATGATTACAATCTCCTCTGTAGAGGCTGTACATCTTTGTTGGAGCACAAAGTCTCCTGTTTCTCACCTGGAGCAGCTGGTGGCCTCAAACTGCCAACCTTGTGGTTTGCAATCCAGTCGTAGCCTTACCTAGGAAATACTGTTATTGTTACATGCCATAGAGTCAGTTCCAACCCTTAGCGGCCCTGTATAGGGTTCCCTAGAAGTGACTGGTGAGGTTTATCTGCCAATCTTGCAGTTCAAACCTACTTAATTAGAGGTTAAATGAGGACAGTTTTCTGTGGAGTAATCAACTAAGTTGAAAAAATACTGAGTTACTTACAGTTAAAACATTTTTAGTTACAGGATTCTTAAATACATCAAATTCTAAAACACCAGAATTCTCTCTTTAAGGGAATCTGTTGGGACTACAGTATTTGGAAATTCTTTCATATTTTGCTATTCTGACTGCCCCATAAATTAGTAAATTAACCGGTATACTTCTGTAGAACCTATCTTCTGACTTTATTTATAGATTTCCTTACTGCTGTTGCTACCAGGCCACTTAGCTTTAATGTTAATGTCAAGGTCACAAATACTAATAGCATTTAACTGGAAGGCCACAGAAGCATTGAGGAGGAAAAGGTAAAGGCAAAATGAGGTTGATATAACTAAATAATTTTACTAGAAGAGTGGGTCTTACAGCGGGTTCCCAAGACTAGTGGTATCTGCATCATCTGGGACACCTGAAAATTTGTTGTTAATTACCATCAAGTCAATTCCAACTCAAGACAATCCCCTGTGTGTAGAGTAGAACTGCTCCCTAGGGTTTTCAGAGTTACAAAGCAGTTCACTAGAGCTGTCTTCCAAAGTGCCTCTGGGTGTGTTGAATTGCTAACCTTTCATCTAGTTGTTGTTGTTGTTAAGTGCCATGGCGTTGGTTCCCACTCATAGTGACCCTGTGTAGGGTTTCCAAGGAGCAACTGCTGGGTTTTAATTGCAGTAGCAGTCCAGTGCTTATCCTGCAGTGACACAGCAATAGTAGCGTCTTTAACTCTACCCAG